AAGGTACCAGGGGGGATTTGGGAGGTGGTGCAGCACAGCCCCTCACTGTCCTGCAGTTCTGACTGTGCTGTTCAACAGCAGAGACCCCAAATTCCAGTCAGGAACTGCCCAGCTGCCTCCTGTCCTCCCTCCTCTCTCCCCCTCTGGCACAATCCCATTATCCTGCTGAGCTGCCCCTTTATTGGGGCACAGGGAGCTGGAGGAGGGATGGGCTGTAAACCCCTTTGTGTGCCAGAACAAGAGTCCTTTTGCACTTTTAGCACTCCCTGTATCCCCAAACCACCCCAAACAGCCTTGCAACTGCTGATGAATTGCCTTCCCACCATTATCCTGCAGCCAGGAGGGAATTTGGTGGCAGGGCTGGTGTAGGAAACAGCTCCCTGCAAACCCCCCCACTGCTTTTAGGAGGAGGGAAGAGGAGGAGAGAACTTTGTGGGACAAAAAGGAAATGAAGAAACCACTCCCCTGCTTCTCTTTGGTGCCTCCTTTCCCCCCCACGTACCCCAGGTACTGCTTGTGGGGAAAAAACTGGTGCCCAAAAATTGGTACAAGCACAGCAGAGGTGTCAGGAGAGCAAGGAGGAAACTCAGACTGCAGGGCTGGAGTTAAAATGCTGCGTGGGTTTGATATGGTTTTGATATTCCATGACCCTGTGATGCTGCACAGAATTGTCCTGCCCATGTTTTAGGTTTGGATTTCAGCAAATGGCCTTCAATGACGTTTTTCCCTTGAAAACAGGGCTATAAATTGCTCTGTCCTGATTCCTGGTGAATTAGGACTGGTTTTCTTTGGCAAATTATTCCTCCTGCCTTATTTTTTCTTACTCTGTGTAATCTATGGAGGGAGAAGGTGGTAGAACAGGAAACAATTGCTTTCACTGAGCATAAAAAAAATCTGAGTTTTCCTTCTCTGAAGCTGAAAATAATTGATAAGTGAACAGTGAGGGTTAAGAAATTTAAAACCAGTGCTCCACTGTTTTAATTAAAAGCTGAAATACCTGGGCTAGGATTGTGTCATGCAAATATTGCCAAATTTGGGGTTGGGGGTGCTTAAATACCCCCTTTTCTGTGCTGCTCTTTTCACTGTAGGAACATGGAGAACTGGTTAGCAAGAAAATTGAAGTGCCTTGCTGAATTTTACTTTGCTGTGTTAAAAAAAAAAAAAAGAAATAGGAAAGAAAATGGGTTTTAATCCTATAAATATTTCTAGTTCTTTGTGGAACATGAGGAGACGTGCCTGAGTTTTTAAAGGATCTGTCACGAAACTGTTAAGATTCAGGTGTTATTTATTGATTTTTTTGTATGTGCACCTTAAAAGTGTTTTGGCAAAGAGACCAAGTCTTAGAGCCTGAAAGGTGGAGAAACCCCTGCCCAGGACCCACCCACTGCTCAGCCCAGCTTGGCACTGGAAATTCCCAGTTCCTGTTCCATCCAGTTATGGAATCCCAGAATGGTTTGGGTTGGAAGGGACCTTAAAGCTCAGCTCATCTCATCCCATGGGCAGGGACACCTTCCCCCAGCCCAGGTTGCTCCAGGTTTATCCAACCTGGCCTTGGACACTTCCAGGGATCCAGGGGCAGCCACAGCTTCTCTGGGCAACCTGTGCCACCCTCACAGGGAATTCCTGGCCAGAAAAGCCTCTTTACACCTTTTACATATCACTTCAATACCTACCAGTGCCTCTTTGGTGCCTGCACCTCTCAACCTGCACCTTTTCTTTCAGAAGTGCCTTTAAGAATCGAGCAAAAAGCCAAAGGAAGGTGTATTTTTGGGTTTTTTTGGTTTTTTTTCTCTTCTACATCATTTCTGTTTGCCCAGTAGTTTCCATTCCCGGTGTGAGCCTTTGGGGGGGTGTTTATTTTGCACACTTACTGTTGGTTAACATCTGACATGGGAGACAAATGTTTAAAAAAAAAACAAACCCCAAGCTGCACACCAGAAACAGCCGTTGCTCATGTGAAACCCCAACCAGACAGGAAAACGATTTCCCTGTGCAGATGTGTGTGTTTTCAGAGATCTCTCTGGGGCACAAGGGGCTTAAAAAAACCCAGGCAGAACAAAACCAGCAAGCCCCTTGATTTAGTTTTGTTAAAACAGGTTGAAAAAGCCCCGTCAAAGATGCTCTTTCTGGGCTGGGCAGCGTGGAAGGGACGTGGGCTCGGGCTGTGCCAGCTGGAATTAAGTCTTGTTTTTGAAACAACTGAAAGGGAAGGAAAAAAAAAAACACAAGAAAACCATTTTAAATGAAGTTAAGTCTTGTTCATGCAGGTGGTTAAAAAGCCTGAATCTTTCAGGTATGAATCAGAAAAGTCTTGTCTTTTGTTCTGCCTCGCTCGTGCCTTCCCTCAGGTTGGGAAATGAAGGTGTTTTGTTCTCCCTGCTTTGATTTTGTACCCTCCTGTGTGACTTGGGGCCAACTGTGCCTTTTTCCCTCTCATCCACACCTTGTTCTTCTTTCCTGTGACTTTAATTTGTGGTCCTGGGACTCAAAAACCACGTGTGTTTTCTGTACTCTGTGGGTCCACACAGGTTTTCACTGCAATAGGATTCAAAAGCAGATTATAGGCCCTAAAATAAGTCAACAATCTCAAAACTTAGCTTTTTTTCTTTTTTAATGGCTTGCTGTTACACAGAAATATTTTAGAGACAGGGTTCTGATTGCTGTAAAACTTCAGTATTATCATGTTTATGTAAAAGAGGAAAAACTGGTGGGAGGTTTAATCCACATCAATCAGTAACTAATGCAGTATTGCAACAGTTTGAAATAAAAAAGTCGACATGACTTTGTTAGTGGTTGTTGTTTTCCTGTCTCAACAGTCCTAAGAAACGGGTTCACAAGTTGAAACTAAAAATAACAATAACAGGAATGTATAAAACACACACTGTGAACTGCAGCAAAACAAATGAGATCCTTTCCACTGAAACACCCTCAATTATTGGAGTTTTATTGAGCTACAGGCAGGACATAAACATGCAAAACTTGTGCATCTGCGAGTCAGCCAGAGTGGCTTTTAATCCAATATATCCAGCTCAGAGCAGAGAGCAAAGAATTCCTTGATGTGGTTACTGCACCTTCCCCCTCAGGGCTTGTTAATTCAGTGTATTTTGGGGCTGGATGTGCAGGCAGTTGCTCCAAGGGCCTCTTTTTTCCCTTGATCAGCTCGATTTTCATGGGTATTGACTGGCACAAAGGACAGGGCACAGCTGGATTGGGCAGAAAAATGGCAATAATTCCAAAGGAGACAAATGAAGCTCAAGCAGGGCATTAAATGAACTCAAATTATCCTTTAATTATAATTACTGCTGTAAAGCTGACCATGTTTGTATTGCCAAACCAGTATTTTCAGAGAACCCAACATATAAAAATACCTTTTTAAGTGCTCTTTTTAACAAAATGGAAGGATGAGTCTCTTTTAAAGATCCAAATACGAAGCGAAAGTGAGTTGTTATTGTAGAAGAAGCTGCCATTTTAATGACATTTAATTTTTCCATGGTTAAAGCAGCTCCTTTTCTAAACAAAATGAGTCATTTTGGGGGGGGTTCTAGGGAATTTATGGCCTAAAAATCAAACATCTTCAGTGGGCTTTGCATGAATTTGGCATGTCCGTGCGCTGAGTAGCATGGGGATGAAACCAGGGCTGATGATAAAATCTACAGAAATTAATTTTCTGCGTTTTTTTGTAGTAAAATTAAATCCCACTGAACCCTGATCAGTGTGATAAAACAACCCAAGTGTGGTAAAGTGTGTAGATTATTACGAATTTAATCCAGTGATGTGATCTCTCCCTGTTTGGGGGTCACTCCGGAGCACAGGAGGTGCTGTTTGACCCCAGGTGAAGGAGCAGGAGGGAATAATGTGGTAAATCCAATGGAATTCCAGTGGAATTCCCTGGTGCCAGGGCTGGCTGTCACTGTCCCCCCTCCAGGGGTGTTTGTTCCTGGCAGGGCTCTCACGGGGATGATTCCTGCTGTGTATTCCCAGGGTGAATCCTCTGAAGTCTGGGAAGAATTCCATGACAAAGGGGCTGCGGGGCTGGAATCTCCCGGGGCTGGGATCAGCCTGCCCTAACCTGGCTGCCTAAATCGAGATAGGCACGACAGGGGATGGACAAAACACAGCCAGAGGAACCCGGAGCCTTTCCACCCAAACACCCCCAATTACCGGAGTTTTATTGAGCTATAAACATGCAAAACTTGGGCATCTGTGAGTCAGCCAGAGTGGCTTTTAATCCAACTTATCCAGCTCCGAGCAGAGAGCAAAGAATTCCTTGATGTGGTTACTGCACCTTCCCCC